ACTGTAGACTTCATGCTCTGTCCACTGAACCACCATGTTTGCTGCTCAATCTCACCTACCTTCCTTCTTTTTTTTGGTCTTGCACATAATGCCTAGAATAGAGCCTTACATATGGTACTTGTTCAATAAATATTTTGAATAATTAAACTACTCCATAGTTTTAAGGTGTAAGCTTAATATTTTAATATAACCAGTAGTCAATTCCACCCCAAACACTGGTGGATTAAATCATATCAATAAGAGAAGTAACTGATTTTTTTTGGGTGTGATGATATAAAGCAGTACAGGTACAGAAATATCAAAGATTATTCCCTTATCTTCTTAAAGCCAGAATATTGAAGAAAAGGATAGAGGTTATATAAAATAAAAATGCAGATGGTGTGATGCAATTTTTGTGGCTCTAATGAAATTCTATGAATTTGGCAAAGTTAATCTCTCCATACTCCCGAGTATATATAATATGCATACTTCAGGCATAGAAATTCATATCCCATTTGTAAGATGGGAAAGTTCTTTCTTCTGGGAAACCTCTGACCTTTCAGACTCCCATGGCACCTTTTTCAACTTGTGTCAAACTTTTCCAATAATAGAGGCTCTTGTTTCTTATGGCAGAGCAATAACAAGGTCAGTCTGAAACATCAGCCCTAGCGCCTACTTGTGGGTAGCTTGGCCGCACTTGTATACATTTCTCCATGTGTGTACTTCTCTCTTTGACCTCTACATGTATCCTCTTTCTCCACTGATACTGACTGCATTTTGGAAGAGTGTGCCCCAGGTTTACAGGGGAGATGTTTTGACTGTATTTTCCTCATTACAATGGTTCATTAAATGTCTTAATTTTGAATTATGTGTGTCCTCAAGCAACACTTAAAGGTAAACATTGGTGGAAGACTATGAAATATAGTTTTAAGGGTGTAGATCCTCAAAGTGCTTTGGGTCTGGGAAACATTGTCTGGGGGTCCAGTGCTATGAGTTGCATGATGTCCACAAGCATTGCACTGTAGGAGAGTACTACAAGGTTGCATACCGACCTCATATAATTCACTAATAAAAACACTTTAAAGCCACCAAATCCTGGTGAAACATTTTGAAAGATTAAATTTGTTTAGGAAATTGTATTGTCTTACTGTTTTGATTGGGGGGGAATCATATGTTTATATGGTAAAGATTTTCAATTAAAAAGAAAAAAGAGTATATAAATTTTGTGTGGCAAAAATTAAGGGAAGGGATTTTAAAATATTACAGCTTTAGAGCTAGAAGGGGACCATTAAGTCCATGTAGTCTCCTCAATTTGTAGGTGAGGAACTGAAGCTCAGAAAGGTTCAATGATCTATCTGTCCAAGGTCAGAGATGTAATATAAATAACAAAAACCAGGATTCAAACTTAAAGCCTGGGATTTCCAAATCCAGCTCTTTCCCCACCATGCTATATTTTCAGCTATTACTGGAAAAGATGGTAACACTGAAATCCAAGATTCTTTAAATATTGAGGTAAAATAATGTTGCAATCTTAGGCTTATCTCAGCTCATAGAATCATTGATTTAAAGCTGCAAGGGACCCCAGAAGCCATCTATTTTTTTATAAATGAGGAAACCAAGGCCCAAGGAGGCTAAAATGATTTGCCTCAAGTCACTCAACTAATAAGTTGGTTGTCAAGGAATGGCCATAGAGTAAATACCCTTTAAAACATCACAAAACTAGGCCCTATACATCTCATTCTTCATAATAGGTAGAGAATTTAGAGTTTCTTAAATCAGTCTATCAACAAGCATTTATTAAGCTGTTATGTGCCTGGCACTGTGCTAGGTCCTAGGAATACAAACATCACCTTAGGAAGCAACCCCTGGGAGATGCAATGTGACAATTGTTCCTGTGAGTGCCACAACTACTGAAGACCTGAAAAAGAAAATTTTTGCTGTCAAAAGCTTGTCATATGTTCAACATGAGAAGCTGTCATAATTTTTCAGTGGAAGTGATATTAGAGGAGGGGCATTAATATTTGCTTTGCTACTGTACCCAAGGAAGAGAAGGGAGGAGGAAAGAGAATACACATTTATTTAGTGCCTTTAATGTGTCAGGAACTGTGCTCCTTGCTTTTAGAAATGATACCTCCTTTGGTCTGAGAACCTAAAAACCATGGGATTCTTCCATCGTACTTGCAGCTAAAATTTCTTGAGAGTATAGATTGTCTTACTTTCATATTTGTATGCCTAGGCTTTGCATATAAGAAGCACTTAATAAATATTCATTCACTTATTCAAATGTAAGGAATGAAATACTACCTAAGCCCAAGGGGATTACATTCCAATGGTAGAGTTGAGTACCTGTATAAGCATATGTGGACTAAATACAGAGAAAATGTACAGGCAAAGTACTTAAATACAAGATAGGTCAGGAGGAAGGATCCTAGGAGTTGGGAAGACAGAGAGACTTTGTGGAGAAGGTGGTGCTTAAGCTGATGGTCATAAGCCCTTGCTTATCTAAAGGAAGCAAGAAGTCCTATGAGGCAGAGGTGAAGAGGGAGTGCATTCCAGGCCTAGAGCATTGCCCAAATGGAAAAGCACAAAGACCAATGATGTAATATTATGAGTAAAGTAGAGAAAGGCCAGTTTTCTTGGATTGCAAAGTGTGAGAGGGGAAGAAATATGCAGTGAGAATGGAAAGATGGGTCAGGGCCATGTTGTGAAGGGCTTTAAAAGGCAAACAAAGGAACTTTATCTTTTATCCAATAGGTAATAGGCATCCACTGAAGTTTCTTGAGTGTGTGTGTGTGTGTGTATGTGTGTGTGAGTGTGTGAGAAATGTGATAATACTGTTAGTGAATAAGGAAAATCCTTTTGGTTGCTGACAAGGATGGATGGGGTGGGGAAACAGTTGAAGTGTGGAAAACAAGTAGGTGTCAGTGGCAATAATATTTTGGTAAAGGTATTAATATGAAAATGATTTGCCATCAAGCATAACTGAAGAAAAAAATATGATTCCAGTGCCTTACATTAGAATCAGAACTTGGATAGATCTGCAATCTCACTAATACATCCCTCTAAAGGTATTGATGGCCTAACTACCTCATGTAACAGATAATGATGACATTACAAAAAGTTAAGAAAGTTTATTATCTCAGAAAATGACCAAGGAAATATAATATGTACCATGATATTAGTTTATATTAATATTCATTTTAAGGAAAAAAAACTGATTGCTAAGGATCACTGTACTCTCAAAACCCAAGTAACAGAAGAGAAGAAGGAAAGGGAAGAAAACTCACAGGCCAACTGTCTCATAGTTGCAAAAGTAGAAATTAAGTGCAGAATTAAGTGAGATTGATCTTGTGGGTATCTGAAGCAGCTGAGACAACCATAAATCTTTTCCTCAACATTAGCCTTGATGCTTTGCAGTGGTAGTGGCAATTAGTTTATCTGCCATTTTCTTTAGATCCTATTGGGAGTGGAGCCGTCTTTCATCTGGTATATTTAAATAATATAGATACATGCACATGCCCTTCTACCATTGTTCCTCCTGTCTAGTTAACATTAAATGCATGTTGTTGGTATTGCATTATTTCACTCTGTGTGGTTAAGTTCTCAGCCTTGAAATTATTCTCATTAAATAAACATTAGAGGCCCATGTCGGCCATATTTCCTCAACAGTAGTGGGGAAGGACGAAGTAAGAATTAGAAGTGTCAGATATATGCAAGAAATTACCTGGGGATGGCCTTCTTGGCAGTATTCTCTTAAGGTGACAGATGTATTTTTTGTCATCTGGTAGATGACATCTTAGAATACCTCAATTAGATTATCAACTCATAGCCGTGCAGTCACAAAACCCTCATGTGAGATCTGAACCAGATTAAAGTGTAATTGGAAAATGTTTAAAAATAGAAAGAAAAACCCAATATAACATGGATAATGTGAATCTGTGGTTTTCTAAGTCAATATGTGGTCTGTAGGGATCCCTTTCCATTTCAGTTTGACATCACTGACCTAAATGACTATCTTATGCCTTTTGGATGGAAATTACTAGAGAACACTTGTCACCTCAGTTATCTCAGCCTGCTCTGAGTCCTTTAAGTTTGGACTAAGATGCTTCAAAATACAGACTGAAATGGTTGGAGAACCTTTGGGACAGGTTGAGATTAAGCCATTTAAATGGACCTCAATCTTTGAACTTTACAAGGATCCAGGATCCAATTCAATAGCATGCAAGGAGTCTGGGGGAAAAAATTAAAATATATTGAATTTGTGTGGGTGATTTAATGAACTTGAAATTGGTCTACATTAGAAGATTTAAGTTTAAATTTAAAATCAGGGTGTGTTATCAACCCATAATATGACTGAGTCTAATAATTTTAAAAGTAGCAATGGAATTAACTGTTGGAGAAAATCAAAATATAGACTTACAAATCAAACAGAGTAAATCATAAAAGAATTTGCATTATCATCACTGTGTCCTTTCATAAAAAAAAAAAAATCCCCTTGTAATCTCAAAATCCAGTCAAGATCAGAGTGGAAGGACTGGTAGCAGTAAAAACAAGACTAATTCTGCCAGGAAACAGTGTTGGACCTGTTCCTGTATGTGTGCCTAGATTCACTTTCCACAAGATGGTAAAAGTACCACCAGGCATTGGCTCAGAAAGGAGACCTAGTCATGCATGTGCAAGCCATCTGTTGGAGGCATGAGGGATTTCCTTCTCACAGACTGAGACTCTAGCTCCTCTCCAGTGCAATGTTGAATACATCTAGCTCAAAGAAGAGAAAACAACAATAGCAACAATAAAACAACTCTGCATTTTGATCTAGTGCTTAGCAATATAATTCTTCATTGTTTGACTTAGTGACAGAAAATAGCCATTGATTTACACCAAAGTTAAATGGAACTAGGTGACAGAAGAAAAATGAGGGATAAAATAAAGATTGCCTTCCTTTAAAAATGATCAACCTGTTAATTAAATGAGCACATCTATGATAATATTACTTTTCTCTTTATTTTTCCTTCACTCAGATTTATGTGAAATACAAGGACTTGTATACTGTAGAACCCAACAATGCACGTCAGCTGGTGGAAATTGCAGCCAGGGACATTGAAAAACTACTAAGCAACAGATCCAAAGCCCTGGTGGTGAGTTTAAATTGTGATTTGCTTTCTTCTGTTTCTTATACATTTTAAATTCTTTGTATTAAATCAGAAGATGGAAGATGTATATTTAACTTTGTAAGTGTTTATCTGAGGTATTAAGGTTATAGCATGTTAATGTATTCTTTTTTCCCCGTGGATGTATAGTGGACATGAACTCATGTGATGGCTTACTAACCTGTATAGTAGGTAGTCATTGATGATGTGTTTTTTAAAAGAGGATTGGGTGATGGCAATTAAAAAAACAAATGCATGAACAATCATGACTGAAGTAGGCCAATTATTATTGTTCACCATTTAGGGATTGTAAATAAATAAAACTTGAGAGTTTATTGATTTTAACTTCCTTTTAAAGGTTTGTACGTGTTTATTACATGAATGAAAGCTTATTTGGCTAAAACAAAGAGTTGTTTGAGTATTTTGGGTTATGTAAATTATAATGGCAGTTTAAGGTGATACCTCTCAATGTAGCATGCCCTACCACCATCTTTTTTTGGGGCTATAATAGTTAGCAGCCAATTTATACAGTACAATGAGAAAAGAATATCATATATCCTTACATGTTTAAATTAGAATATAATACCATTGAGGGGAGACATTGCTCCTTCCTATCCTCTGTAACCTGAACCCCAAAAAGCCTGGACCTATATGAAATCTCTGGAGGAGGAGAGTTTGAAGGGAGTCAAAATATATATTAAAATAATAGGTGATGATTGTGATTGTTGAAGGTATAGTTAGTTATTGACTTAAATGTCATATTTGCCTCTGTGTGTGTGTGTGTGTGTGTGTGTGTGTGTGTGAGAGAGAGAGAGAGAGAGAGCTGTAGAACTGTAGGATGTTAAAGCTGTTTCAACAAACACAGAAAAAAAAAGTCACAAAGAGGAAAGATGCTTTAATGAATTGAAACACTGGTGCTCTATCAGATTTCAGATAATTACAAGTTGACATTATTAATAATAAACAAATAGAGACTCATGACTTAAAAGAAACTTAATTCTTCTGAATATAACTTAAGGCAACAAATATTATTGAGTATGCAGAGGGTATATAGGCAACAAATATTATTGAGTATGCAGAGGGTATATAGAGTTACATTTTAGAAACTAATTATGAGTCTTGCCTTTAGTGAGTTTTGGGGGTAACAAAGGGTGAAAAATGAGTAGCTTACAATGAATTCTCTTATACAGAATGGTTGGGTAATGGGGTTATTAAATATTCTGGTTATCTGGGAAGGGGTTTTTGACTTTTTTTCTGTCAGAGATCCCTTTATTAGACTAATGAACACTATAGACTCCTTAGAATAATTTCGTTTTTAAAATTTATAATTGAAGGGAATGCTAAATTTCAGCTAAAGTTTAACAAAAATTAAAATGCCATTTTTTCCCCATCAAAATTCCTAGGACACTTGCCACCCCCTCCAATCTTTCCCCATTTCTTGTGGACTTCAGGTTAAGAACTCTTGGAGTCTAAACATACCATACTAGGATTGCTCATTTTCTAAGAATAAGGACAAAAATGAACTTAACATTAAATCTATGCTGAAAATGATTTAATCTTCCTTTGATTCAGGAGGAAAATAAAGTTCTTGCAGTGCCTACTGGTTATAGTAATAGCTCATAGTAATAGCTCAAATTTATATAATATTTTAAAGCTTACTAAGGCTTTCTTCACAACAGTCCCAAGTTAAGTAATATAAGTATTATTATCCCATTTTTAAAGAACTCAAGAGAGGTTTTGTGATTTGCTGATAGGCATGCAGCTGGTAGATAATAGAACTGGGCATTGAACCCACATTTGCAGAAGTCTGGTTCACTGCTATGACCCTGGGATTGCCCCATCTCAAACCGTGCTACATATAAAACAGGAATAGGAGACTGGGCTGAATCTTATTGACTATTTATTGTGGAAGTGAACTAAGACATGCTATTATAAAGTTAGACAATCTGGAAATTTCGGTTGGAGAATCTTAGTTCATTGTTAAAGAGGACCAAAATGGTGTTACTATGTTGGGGTCAAAACTGTGGCTGATCAGACCAATATGAGCTTGGAAGGCTCGCACAGGTTGGGCACAAATAGTTCATGTGAACATTTGGAGTGGAGATGTCTCTAAATTTGTGCATCTCATAGAGATGACAAGCTAGATATTGGTATATATATATGTGTGTGTGTGTATGTATGTGTGTAGATATGTTGATAGATACATACATATATTCGAACATTTTTTTCCTCTTGCATCATTTTTATCTTCAAAAAAAAGTTTATCTTAAATTATCTCATATCTGCGATTTTTCTAATTTATCTGCTTGAACTTGGCCCTCTTCCCTTTACTAAAAGCATTTTGCCACTCTATTTCAGCATGTGTCAATGTTTTCTATATGTACTTTTGTGTCCTGATATATTTATCTGCTTTGTCAACTATCTTCAGAAGGAGATCAAATGGAAATACTTTTAAAACTCTGTTGCATATTCTTTTACACTAAATCTTTCCATTTCAGAGATAGTAGGTTTGAGGGTGGAAATAAAAAACAAAAGTCTTAATTCCGATAGCAAGGTGGCACAGTAGCTAGAATACCAGGCCTAGAGTTAGGAACACCTGAATTATTTGGCCTCAGACACTTACTAACTGTATGACCCTGGGCAAATCACTTTCCCACTGTGTCCTTCAGTTTCCTCATCTGTAAAAAGGGGATAATAATGGCACTCAACTCCCAGAGATGTTGTGAGGACCATATAAGATAATAATTGTAAAGTACTTAGAATGGTGCCTTTCACTTAGTAGGCACTCTATAAATATTAGCTGTTATTATTATTAAAGTTATGAAAACTTCACTAAGACTATTGGGGCACCCAGAATATGGGGGATTTTGTTCTTGCAGGAAATTGTTCACGAAGAACTCTTTCTACATGTCTGCACTTTAAGGTCTTGGAGAATTGCCAGGGGTCCTTAAGAAGTTGTTAGGCCTTGAGCCCATTTCTTCATTATACCAAAGCTTGCATTCTATTGCCCAAATCAAGCAGCCTGTCCTATGGATCCTGAGAAGCAAATAATGTCTGGCACATCGTAGGCACTTAATAAATATTTACTTATTGATTGACTGATTGATTGAATCTGGCATATTTAAAAAATATCTGCCTCACTCATTTAGGAAAAGTCTTCTCAATTTGGATACTGTATCACCCCTGTGTGATCTTCTGTTAGAAGTGACAGCTGACCTTCACAGTCTCGATGGCAGGACAAAAGGAACCTGACTTCTCTAAAGGCAAGACTCATATTACCAGACACCACTGGGCTAGGCTGAAATGTCTGCAAGTGTTAATGAACAATTCCCGGAGGGAAACTGATGCAATAAAACCACTGGTCCTCCGGCAATAGCTCCTGTGGGATAGCAGTGAACGACATCAGGTGCCTCATTGTTCACATATCAGCCTAGCTAAGGGACTGCCCAGAGTAAATGAAGGTCTCTAGGCACTTTGCTGAAACAAAGTTGGGGGAAGGTTATCATAAACAAATACTGGTGGTGACTTTTCCAATTATAGCTTTACTTGTTTCCCTCAGGTTGCAAGGGTAACTTTAATTAAAAATTAATGCATCCATCATGAAGCTTTGAAAATTTTCATACACCCTTGCTTTTTATTTCAATATCACTGCTCAGCTAGTTGCAGGATGTAGAGGTAAAAAAAAATAACTGAAGCTCTTTTAAGCATTTAGTGTTTCTCTTGGCCATCTAGATTGCTTGTATTTGGTGAAAATCTTGTGATATTTTTCTAAAGCAGTTTTTTTTTCTTTTCTTTTTTTTTTTTTTAATGGATCCCTTTGGCACTCTGGTGAAACCACCGGTTCCTTTTTCAGAGTGATATTTTTTAAAAAGCATACAATAAAATACCTAAGATTACAAAGGAAACAAATTACAGACCTCAGATTAAAAAACCCTGCTCTAAAGATTCAGAAAATTATTGGTTTCTAGTTTAATATAATTTCAGTATTCACAGATTTTTCTTCCAGAATGAATTTTACCTTTAAATTGATTTTTCCTATTGGGGTTAAAATCAGTTTCATATTATTTAAGTGCACATTATTTGTGAAAATTTAAGGCACTATTTTCTTCATATCTTAAGTATGAATTGGGAGCTTCTATACATTTTTATATTTAATATGCTTTTATGTATATATAATATGCTTTTAATATATTTTATATCCATTTGTATATAATATGCTTATACTATGCATACATATAGGTATACATATACTCTTTATGATGGACATATCAGTTACTTCCTTTATGTAGATATAGTCCTTTTTGCACAATGGTGTCTGGATCTACATTAGATATGCATATTTGTATATCAAACAAGCAATGAGTATTTGAGCAACTACATTATGGTAGACACTGTACTAGGCACTAGGGATTTCAACACAAAAATAAGACAGCCCTTGTCCTCAATGAATTTATATTCCAGTAGGAAAATTTCATGAACATAGGGGAATAGTGGCCAGGTAATGGAATTTTAGTATGGGGAATTGAAAAGATGAAGAACGGAGCCATAGGTCAATAGATTGTCACATCTTTCTTTGAAAGAACAAGAGGTTGAAAGGGGATGACAGGAACCTCCTGTACATACCTGGACGCAGGGAAGATAACAAAATATATAAAGTGAGTAGGCCCTTGGAATCCTGGTTGCTGGCTGGATGGAAGGGAGGTATAGTCTCTGACCAGCAGTATGAGATTATATAAACAATTAACTAAGTCACTTTAGTCTAAATTAGGAGTAGAAGGGGAAGGGGGTGTGTGGAGAAAAGAGACGGTATATTACTCTACCACATTATTATTTTTGGCTTAAATGTACTGATACTGCCCTTTTCTCCATGATGTGCTTAACTCCCCTTTAATCTATTTTGCTCATCAATAAGAAAAGATTGTCCCATTTTAAAAGCCCTAAATGTATTCAATTCCATGGTTTTAATTAGTTTGAAGTACATGGCATTA